CTGATGAAAGTTTTTTAGTAAAATTAAAATTCAAATCTTGTAGATATAATTTATTAAACACAAATAAGAATTAGTCAAGTCTTATACTTAAAAGCCATGCTGTATTATGTAAAAAAAAAATACAAAATCATGTTGTATTAATGAAAAATACAGTANACATTATATTGTTTTGCTACACACTTAAAACTATTAATTTTACATTTCTGATGAAAGCTTTTTAGTAAAATTAAAATTCAAATCTTGTAGATATAATTTATTAAACACAAATAAGAATTAGTCAAGTCTTATACTTAAAAGCCATGCTGTATTATGTAAAAAAAAATACAAAATCATGTTGTATTAATGAAAAATACAGTAGACATTATATTGTTTTGCAACACACTTAACACTATTGATTTCTTTCACCCACAAATTTCAACAATGATTTAACATTATTGGTAAAACAAGAAATAAAAGGTAATTAAACCAAAAATTCAACTTTAACAAAAAGTAAACTGTATAAGAACCAAAAAGAAAACTTTACTAAATGACAACGCATCTTTTGTTTGGAGTGCAACACAAATACAAATCATACATATCTATACGTAAAATCAAGACAAGAATTATTGCTATGAAGTAAAAATCATATGTAGTTTTAGATAATTAAACCAGAAAAATCACAAAAGTCACCAAATTCAAAGAGAAAGAATATATGATATATAAAAAGAAGAACCAAACAGGTCTTTTTTTTTTCTTATTGATACCGTAATCTTTTAAGCTCTAAGCAGTAGATCCCTTGAGCTTCTTGGTGATGGTTGCAATGTACTTGCCTTGGTGAAATGCTTGCTCTAGCTCCAGCTCCGTTGGCTGCCTCGAACCGTCTCCTGCAAATGTTCCAGCTCCATATGGGCTTCCGCCTTTCACATTCTCCATCTCAAACATACCCGCACCAAATGTGTAACCGATTGGGACAAATACCATCCCGTGGTGAACCAGCTGAGTTATCGCCGTCAATCTACAGATTACCACCAAAACGTTTTCCATATATATATATACACACATAGAGGCAAGAGATAATGTGAAGTTTTTGTTTTCGGAGAGAACTTACGCGGTGGTTTCTTGGCCACCACCTTGAGAGCCAGTGCTGTAGAAGATACCAGCTGGTTTACCCGCGAGTGACTGAGTCCTCCAGAGTCCACCAGTTGCATCCATGAAAGCTTTGAACTGAGCAGCCATCATACCAAACCTTGTTGGGAAGCCAAAGACAAACCCATCAGCTTCAGTTAGCTCGTTGGGGGTGATGATTGGGGATTCGCTCTTTGGTGGCGCGCTCATCTTAGAGAGTGCTTCTTCTGGAAGCGTCTCAGGCACCTGTGGACAATAAATTTATCATAAATATCTAACTCAGCCTAATGATAGTTTGTGATTTGGAAATTCATGTGCTACACAAACACAAACATGCCATGGAAAACAGAAACTAAAAATGCAAGACAGGTACATCCGAAACCTCGATAAGCAGTGACCAAAAAAGAATTGCATCAAGAATATCAGTACATCCGAAACCTCGATAAGCAGTGGCCAAAAAAGAAACCTACTCAGTCAACTAAACAACCCAGAAAGAATTAGTATCTCTTTGATTCTAAAAAACTTGTGTAAGAAAAGGAAAATCATCAGTCAAGAATCCAAAATACAGAAACTTGAAAATGGCAATGGCCTAAGAATGATGGAAGCTAATGTCAGACTGTCTTATCCTTTCTAAAAGCTACTTATAGACTAAATTTGTAGACATAAGAGTCACTTTTTTCTGCAATAGACAATGCAAAAAGTTGATAAACAGTAAGTACTTAAAGCAGCAGTAAGCAATTTCACCTGCCATAGTTTGGCTTCAACACCTTCAACAGAAGCAGCTCCTTTCCTTATTTCTTCAGCCAATTTCTCCACATGACCGTACATAGAGTAGTACCTGCACAAATGTCAACTTCAGATCAAACCCACCAAACCAATTTTCACAACTAGCT